TCCTTTTCCCTTCCCAGTTCACCTCTGACAATCGTGGTAAGTAATATATTTTAGGAGAAACAGAACGCGGCCGGTAAGCTCGATAACCGGTAACCGGTAACTGGTAACCGGTTGGTATATGGAGCACTTTTGATTAAAGCTTCTCGTCGAACACTTTGTCCGTTGGGATGCCAGAGAAACTCGATTAGTTTAGCTGCACGAAAGGGATACAAGACTTTTGCGGTGCTTCTCATTCGTAGAGAAAACCACCGTAAAGGGAAATTCTATCTTTCACCTAGCGCTTTCTTGGCGCATTATCCATCCATCCATCCATCTATCGTACCAATTTCTCTCCCACCCTTTTTCCTCCCGATATGTCCTACTAAGGCAACGGCAACCTGTGGCAATATAGTCGTCCGAACTCGATTAGCTTTTTCGTGCGATGAGATATTATCTCTTTAGGTATCCTTTTGATTTAGCCAACTCGTACATATTTCATTTTAGCTCGGATATGAATTTCTCGTTATAAAATATCTCTTGTGTATAATGTTGCATCGTTAGGATTGATTGTATATTGTATTAGGGTTGTTTGAGAAGACAAAATCGATTATAATGAGAATTACGGCAAGTTGTTTTCCATATGCGCCACGGACGCGCATAACAGTGTCATATTATAAAAAAATAAATATTATAAATTTTCGTCGTCATCTATCAGCTGAGACTCTCGAACGCTTATCTCCATTTCTTTTCTACGGTCGAAGGAAAAAATTTGTTTTTTCCTTTTTAGAACCGATAAATCAAAGCGAACTGTCCAACATGTCGATCATTAATAACGCTAGTGCTTTGCCTTTTTCCTCGCGGCTCACTTGCACTCACGCGCATTTCTCTACACTGAAAAATCGAAGCTTTTCTCGTATGCGTGTACACGGACGAGGCTGCTGCCTCCCTCCGAGCGCGCAACCTCAAAAAACTTGCTAGCACGTACGGTTTAATGGATCGAAACTACGTTGTACCGAGTTCTACCGAGTTACATCGACTCGTTTATTTTTCACAAGCGCCATTTTACGATGAACGAAAGAAAGAAAGAAACAAAACGAAACAAAACAAAACAAAACAAAAAAATACAGAATACTTAAAGTGATACACGTTGTGGTGAATTCAAGTTGAAATTCAAATAAAATTCTACTTGATAAAACAACTGATTTTCTTATTTATGGGCTTCAATTAGACTCATTTTATCGTCGAATGTGTAATTGATCGGAGGGATATAAGAATATAAATGACTTATACGAATGATTCATCGTTAACTACTTATTATATTTCTCTTTAATCATTTCTATAAAGGGTTTAAACAATAGTGCCTCTATTACTATCTACCAATTACGCCGATAAAAATAAGCTCACGGAATTGAAGACGAGTGCGAGGACGGACGATACCGTTCAACATAAATTCCTTGTATTTGAAATTTTGTGTGTGTGTGTGTGTGTGTGTGCCAATGACGACAAAAGCATTAAATTCGTAGTGCATAACCGAAAATACATATCACTCGAACACGTTGTCGGCGAATAAAATATATGGAAGTAAAAACGCGCTAACAGGGACACGGCCTTTGAATAACTAATAAAATAGCATCGCTTGACCAGTTGAATTTTACAGATCATGCTATCTATATTTTTATCACCAGATGAAATCAAACTCCATGCATTCCGTTAATGATACCAAAAATTCGATAGCAGATATTTTTGTAATACAACGAAAATATTGTTTGTGATCGATAATGCTTGAAGATCGCCAACACGCTTGAACAATAGAAATCTAATAAGCGTCAATTCAATTTTAAAATGAATTGCCAGTCCACGAAATTTCCTAAATAAAGCGAAAATGATTGAGTCTATTCTGCGAATGAGTAGAAAAACAAATTTGTCGAAATTTCATTTGAAAAATACTATAAATAAAATGATGTGCTTTCAACGACGATCAATATTTCAGTATTTTCCTTTCGGAACGAAACCTTAGAACATATATAGGTATGTAGTTTTTATATCTTTCGTTTTAGTAATACATTTTTAATCAAAACATTGTAGAATCGTCCAACATAATATTAGATTTGTGAAATTCTTGCAATAGTGGACGTCAATTTCCTTTCTCAAGTGAAACTTGCACGCTTCGATGTTTATAGCTCGTCGTCGCGGCTTCAACGCGAAAGAATTTATCGACGAGAAACTCGATTTTCATTTTGTATAATTCTACAAATTTGTTCCTTATATATTTTCTGAGGTTAATACGCGTTTTATCGTAATATAAGCTGGATTAAATAAAGAGGATTATATCTCTAATTATAGTCGTTTTACAAACACTAGAAACATTGTTGGTCTTTTATAAACGAGTAAGTACGTCTGTAAAGAAACACAAAAACGCACGCAGAGGAGGATCATCCGTTTAGGGTTTTCTCTTGCAACTATTTAACGTGGTGGATCCTCGTCCGCGATAAATGAATCTATTTATAAAGCTTTCCAGTCTTTATACCGCGGAATTGGAACGAGGCATATTTTTCTTACCACGTTTCGACGATTACGGTAATGATCCTTCGTTTATATACATCGTAGTAGAGCAAAAATACGGATCTACCTTTCCTAATAGCGGAGTGGGGTGGGGTGGGGTGGGGGGGGGCGGGATTTTAAAAGAGACCATTACGCGCTAATACTCATTAAGATTGCGGTATAGAAATAGAGTATACCACCACGATACAGCATATCCCTGCCTGGTCAATCATTTATTTTTTCATTTTAAACAAGTCCTTCGTTTCTTACCGAATTCGCGATTTCGAGTTAAAACACAAACAAGATTCCCCAAATGACTCATCTCCGAGACATACCCCAGTATAGAATTTAATATTCTACAAAATTACTGACTTAATAATTTACGAAGTTTTTTCTTATGCGATCATTCTATATCTAAATATTTTTCTTTCATTTCGAAGTACCAATTATACCATTAATCATCATTTCTAAATGGCAAGCTTTGATTTATCGATACGTTGCGCGTGCACATTTTTCGAATAGGCAGAGCGAGAGAAACATTGGAAAATTTCAAAGTAAGTTGATCGTAATTAGAAAAGTTGGTGATATGGTAGATAAGGCAAGCGGACCGGATCTCTTTCTGATCTCGATCGAGATTTTTCAAAGGCAAAGAGATGCGTCGTCAGTAGTTGTGCACACACACAAATGTGCATACGGTTGATTCGAACCAATACAATTGAGTTCATACGCACATTGGAAGGTACAATTGGTAAAATGTTATACGTGAATATTTGAATTGTGTTAGTTCCGTCCTTGGAATCCCTCTGACCCAGTTTCCAATCTCCCAATGGTAAGAAGATAATTCCAGTGCACTTCGAATGCCTCTCTGAAGCGGCAATCACGATTGCCCAGAATTACGTAAGGGAAATGCGCTCGGTAAATCATCCATCGACAACGATTACATTGCTGTCTCTCTCTCTCTCTCTTTCTACTTACCTTTCATAGATAAGTAGGAATATATGTACTGTATATTTATATGCTTCTTCTCCCTTTTTTTATTTTGAAGGATCTGCGCATTAGAACGAGTTCGCACATGCCAATGGTATAACAAAAATTGAACATTTCTCTACATTCTTGCTTTCGTCTTTTTCTTTTTCTATAATGCTTTAAGATTTGTCTATTAGCTCCTCCTACGTTCCTAAACGTTCCTAAACGTTCCTAAACGACGAATTGAAAGAGACGACGTTGAGTTAAAATCTGTCGAAAGATTAAGAAGAGAGAAATCGTTCTTGAGAAATAATTCGTACATGACGTTTGTCTAAATGAAAGGAGATCAGCGAAATTTAATTGCAGGACGGTATGCTCGTTTAGAGCAAGAGACAAAAGGATTCGTTTAATCAGATTAGCGTAAGGCTTTCTCCTTTTCCTAAGTAGGATCGTCTTTCTAAAGAAAGATGAGAGTTATCGTGATAACCAAATATTCTTTTCTCTCTTTCGAACGAACTTTATCGAACTTCGTTACATTTCACATTATTCTACCTTCTGTATCGTCTGAAAGCTATTTTTAATTAATAGTTTCCTCGTCGTTGAAACCAACGATGAATCCATATTTTATCCTTTTCTCTTGGACAAAGTATAAAAACGTTATAAATCGATGAAATGCTGTAAAACAATACGGCTCATGACAATTGTCCACACACGGTATAGTGTTTCGTTTTCTGTCCTTCTCTCACAATCTCAACGCAAGTAAAATTCTTTCTTTAAATTAAGGTGGCACTTCAACTAGGTACAGTATAGGTACAGTATAATGTTGCTGGTTACGTCACACAGAGACAGTAAAGCCAGGCTTCTCCGATAGTCGGAACTGAAAGGTGAAGGCGAGTAGCTCGAGTTCTCCTCCAGCTCTTGAGGGATTTAACGGGCGTGTTTTTGGTTATCTGTATCCTTCCAATCCCACTATTCACTTGCGAATAGAATTAACAAGTTTTTTTTTTATCGCCATGTGTTTTGTGTCAGTCCAATCTCGCGTAGATCGTTATATATACTATACATATATATATATATATATATATATATATATATATATATATAATATCGATTATAATTAAGCTTGCAAGCTTGCCGCAAGAACGTCACTCTTTACGATTGACGCACACAAAATTGATAACCTCTTGTTACCGGCTCCTAATGCGTACTACTCGACGATCCCGAGGAAGCACTTAATCCTCTTTCACATTGACGAATTGATCCACGCTGGATTCTCTTGGTAAATCCTTAAATCTATCCTGAGCGAAAGCAATATCGAGGAGCAGTTTCGAGGAGCAGTTTCGAGGAGCAGTTTCGAGGAGCAGTTTCGAGGAAATCGCGACTAGGTCTACATGCTCGTAAATAAGTAGCCAAGATCTAAATTGAGACGGTGTTTTATCGTTTTCCCTACAAACCATTTCTTAACAAACCATGAATCTAAGGGGAGAAAGTTACAAAATATTTTCAACACGTACCTTTTGTTGTTGGTTCGTTGGTTCCGTGGCTAAGAGTTGTTTCAAGGCAGTGTGCCCGTGTCCGCTCGACGTCGAAGTGCCACCAGGCGTACTAGGAGTGCTCGGATTGGAACCAGGTGTGTTTGGCGTGTTAGGCCCTGTCGTCGGACTGCTCGGATTGACGCTCTCGTTTCCTTTGCTACCGGCATGATGATTTTCTCTGTGTCTTCTTAAACTTCTCGCATCGCAGTAGGACTTTCCACAACCCTCGGCCTTGCACTCGAACGGCTTTTTGTTTCGATGCGTCAGCCTGTGACCGTTCCTGAAGAAGATTCAACAATTTTTTTGTTCATTTTATAAATATACATATATATATATATATATATATATATATATATAATTTCACGCACAACAGGCAACAGGAAACTCATGCAATTTGAAAACTTCCTGCATCGATTTATAATATTCGAAAAGAAGCTATGAAATTAATTCTCTTTGTTTGGAGAATATGCTAACGAAGGGATTGTCGTCCTTTTTTTTCTCCCAAAGGCATATCCTAGGTGGGAAAGACGATCGAAGGACAAGGACTAAAAGGAAGGGATGAGGAAGAGAAAGAGTAATTCTGTTCTCGTCATTCCTCACTTCTCGCATTTCTTCGCTTCTTTTCCTGTAGCCCACCATTGTTGCCAATCCTTTTGGACGAAGAAACGCGCTTACCTTCTAACGGTTATATACCTTGCGCTCCGAAGAAATGCTCAACAAGAGAATATCTCTTATGGTATAAGAGTTTCCACTCTCTCGTTTACCTCTTATCCTTTTCTTACTTGATACTTCCGCAATGTACTACTATCCGAGGTTTTTTGGAACAACGGGAAAAGACAACGTTGATTTACTTCGATAATAAAGATAGGACGAGAATGTTACAACGACTGACGTTACCGTTTTCGTCGATAAGTCTAGCATCGTTTTCAAAACAATCAAATGTTCTTTTTTCTTCTTTTTTCCGTCATATTTTAAGATACAACTTTTCTCCTTATTTTTCTATAAAATGCATACAATTTTTGTTTATTATTAGTGAGAATTTCTTATGCAAAGAAACGTTATTGTCAAGATATTACAAAAGAAACGAAAGATCGATCTTTTGTGCGTGTTCTAAAAGCGAAATTCCATTTTCGAATTCATCAATTTATCAAAACGCTATTTTCAATATATCATGCGAAAGTACGTTGCATAAATAAATAAGATGATTTATAATTTGTTTTTTCTAGTGAAAATATTAGAACTTATATGAAAAATCATGACGAACTTATGATGAGAGAAATGAAAGACTTTAAGGATAGAAAGACAAGTTGGAGGAATTCGATAAAAAAAAATAAAGAAAGGGCTTTCCTCAACCCTGTCCAGATCGTTTTTTGTCTTTTTTACAAGAAAAATGTTCTTCATTATTCTTGTCTCGTACATTATAATATAGTTTGAATAAAAATTTCCAAGATAATTCACAAAGATGCTCTTAATAGTTGAAATTATTCATGGTATTTTGTATTATTAAAAAAAAAGACTATTAAACGCGACTAAGTTGTATATCGTATATTGTATAGAACTATAATTTGATTGAAAATTTCTGTGGATTTCATGGAAGTTTATCGAAAAACGGAAAAGCGTTTAGCGGTCGAAAACGTAAGTAATACCTCGCTAGCTTTCAGGGCTTACATCGAATGTGGAACCGCTTAACTTTTTATCGACTAAGGGATAAACTATCGAGAGAAGAACTAAAAGGAAAAATAAGGAAGAATAGAGGAAGGAAGTATATATCTAATGGTAAAAGAAAGAAAGAAAGAAAGAAAGAAAAAGAAAAATATTGTCCAGCTCGAATGGACCAAAGATACATAGCGAATTCCAAGGAAGGCATACGAGACAAGAAAAGAAAGTAAAGAACGTTGGATAGAAATAAGAGAAAGAGGGTTAAGGGTAAGAAAGACGTAGCAGGGGGATTTGGAGATCTGTCTTTGTAGAAAATACAACTCGGTAGCTAGCCGGTCGCTCGATCGCTCGGTCGGTCGGTCGCTCGGTCGGTCGCTCGGTCGGTCAGGTAGTCAACTTCCCCCCAGAACTCCTTCTCCTCCTCCTCCTCCTCCTCCTCCTCCTCCTCTCATTTCTTTTCTTTCTTTCAGAGGAGAATTGAATCCTTAGTCTTTCTAGTACGATCTATATTTCTACTGCTAACTTTTCTATCTATTTTCTTTTTCTTCCTTTTCTTCCTGTTCTTTAGTTCTTTGTTCTAACGTCAGTCTAGTTTCGAAAAATGCCAAAACAAAATGCGACATACTAAAATAATTAGCTGAAATGGAGTAAAGCGATGAGTGAAGTTTTAATGTCTGACCTTTCATTTAACCTACCAAAAATATATCTCTAAACGAGAATACATAGATACGAATGAACGTGTGTGTACTCACAAGTGGTCCTGCCGCTTGAACGCCTTTCCGCACATCAGGCACACATATTTCCTCTCGTTGCTGTGCGTCAATTTGTGCTTCGTGAGCGCCGATGCGTTGCTGAACACCTTCCCGCATACCTACACAACAGAAGCAAATAGGCATGTTAGTTATGTGTCCTGCTATGAGCAAAATATTACATCGCTGTAGTTATCGTTCCTGCATCTCTTTCGCATTTTTTCCTAAATGTTTAAAAGCACCTTGCAGTTTAGGAAATTCTTAAAGGTACGCTAATTAAAATTCCACAAGAATACAAATCTATCTCAGATCTAACATATCTACAATACGTAGGTACTCCATGTATAAGCGTAAATAACATCGAATTTCTCAATTTCAATGAAATCAATTGACATTCGAGAAGATTTATTCGAGTTAGTAGAAGAGAATTTTACCATCGTATTTTACCCTCCTCTTGATGTATAGTTGTAATAATTGTTCGCTTGATTTCATTCTATTTGTATTAAAGGTATTATTGACGATGCTAGAAATGGTATGTCCGTCAAATATGTGAAATTGGGTTTATTACACGTGCCACGAAGCGCAGTATTTCAGAAACTATTTCAGGAAGCCGAGGACTTAACGTGAACGAATGAACTCTCCTTGCTGCTTCGTTTCGATCTACAAACCTGTACATTGCTTATATATATATATATATATAAAAGCTCGTATATGAATATACGCGAACGAACAATGAATGCATCCCAAAAACCATGCATAAGACGAACGAAAATACACCTTGTTTTGGTCAATAAGAAAAAGGTCAACTAGAAAAAGTCAATGAAACTATGGACAAAATTCAGAAAGACCGACGCATTAACAATCGTGATATTAGTAAAAAGCTAAACATCGACCATAAACATGTATGTTTCGAGTGCATATCTTATAAAAACGATGCATGACCAGATGCAACCTCGGTATGATAGAAATTCTTACTAAATTCCATAGAAAAACGTATTCTTTTTAAAAATGGAAATTTCGGTTCTATCGTATATCCACTATATTCACTATATCCACTTGAAAAATGTTAGAGCAAGTCGTTCCTCCAGTTTCTAAGCAGACAATCTAATTTGCTTAACTCCTAAGAAGCTCCAGATGCATGAGTACCGCCACACGGGAGTTTCAATTTACGAGGTAAGCGCGCATGAGAGGTGGAGAAGAAAGAGATAGATAGATAGATAGATAGAGAGAGAGAGAGAGAGAGAGAGAGAGAGAGAGAGAGGATACAGATTCAGGCAGTAGTTCCCCCAACCTGCTGTCCCTCGACCATCATCTCCGTGCCAAAACCCAGATCTTTCGCCCTCAGACGGGCCTTCCTCGAGAGCTAAACAAACATCATTACTCCTGGCCTTTCTACGCCCCTATTCGTATCTTTTCTCTCTTCCTTTCTATCCTCTAGAGTCGAACGTCTACTTCGAGCTTTGGTCATACTACGAGATCTTGCCAAAGTATACCGAGCAACACCGGCTCTGAATACGCAATTCAACGGTGATAATATTGATACTTCGTTAAAAATGAGTCAAGAGTAAAAGGAATAAAATCTATCAACTGCATTCAAATGCATACCATTGATTTGATTTTCAACAAGAATTCATTCGATCTGTAAATTTTTCTATTCTAATATTTGAATTATTCAAAATAAATATTTGTTTGATGATCATTTTTTACATGACATTTAAATATGATTGTCGTCAAATTAAATTATTTTTAAATGAATAATAAATCATTATCAATAGAAATTTGCTCTAGTTTCTTAAATATTGACTGGAAAAGAACCTACTTAATTAAATAAATATGATCAAAGAAGATAATCAAGTACTATGTGTTATATTAGCGAGAATCATCGGAGAGAAAAAAGAGAAAAAGAGATAAAGAGAGAGAGAGAGAGAGAGAGAGAGAGAAAGAGAAAATATGACAAAAATTCATGCAGCTATAAATAATGAGAAAAATTAGCCGAGCAAAGATACAAGTAGATAGAAAAAGAAAGATAACAAAAAGTTATCAAAGATAAATAAAGAAATGTAGGGGTTTAGCTGGTAATACTAGAACTTAAATACATACGAATGACAACTGTCCCAAAGGAGGTAGATGTTATTGCATCGGTGTGTTATGTTAGATTACGAGCTGTCGTGTTTGGTCCCCAGACTAGAGAGTTGATTCAACTGAATATTCAACAGCTTTTCCAACCCTTACAAATTCGCTAGGAAAGGCTCGTGCTGCCCTTTGCCTAATGGCTAGTACCTTGGAAAGAGTTGTATATATAAACGCATAATACGTATACGAAGGTATGCCAACGACGTCTACGTAAAGCGTTGTCGTCGTCGTCGTCGTCGTCGTTTTACCTCGAAGTAGATTATAAGCGAGTCGTATTGTATTAAGCCATATCGCTGGAAATAAAGTAAAAATGTAAGAGTGAAAGTAAGAGAAAAAGAGGAAGGAACATAGATAGGAGAGAGGCAGAGAGAGAGAGAGAGAGAGAGAGAGAGAGAGAGAGAGAGAGAAAAAACTTGCCCAGAAATAAAGCAACAAATCGTAGTAAGTTTTGACTTTTGATACAAATTTTCGTGCGAATCGATTTTACGATTCATCTTCGCCTTGAACTTTTGACCCGTTTGCGCATGACGTTGGTAGAATTAACTTAACGTCCTAGAGAAATTTACAGTGAGAATTTCATTTATTCGTTTTTTTAGTTGAGCATTGTTTCCTCTCTTTATCTCTTATTTAGTAGGTACGTATCAATTGCATGTCCATCGAGAAATACTAGCAAGAAGAAAAGGAGCATAAACGAAATTTCATTGGGCTGCACCAAGGCTCCATGCACCAAGGCTCCATGCACCATGCCAAACGCATAACTTTTTGAAAAGGAAAATAGGTGAACGTCGTTAGCACTCAATGTTACTATTTCGATTCGTTTGACTACTTAACTGAAGATAGAAAAAGAAAGAAAATAGTTAGCGTGCATTTGCAGCAACGTGTAATGCGTGGCAATTGTAGCTGATTTCTATTTACGGAAAAAGTATATAAATCAAAGGCAATAATGGTTGTCCAGTTATATCATTTGTATGAGAAGATGCAAATGATTCTTACCTGACATTGCTGTGGTCCTTGCCTGACCGGCGAGGAAGCTTTTGACCTTGGTCTCTTTACTCCTCGTTTTCCGGGATCACCAGTGCCCGCTTTCGATTCCTCGCTGCTACCTAAAATTACGGAAAAGTTCCTGAGACAAATGATCCTGAAAGCGTCGAATCGCGTGAGATAAATCGCGTAGGATGGTTCTCGCATAGCTTCATTTTGATGTCTCGAAAAACCCGTCTTCTTCGACAAGAAAATCGACTTGTTCTCTCTCTCTCTCTCTCTCTCTCTTTCTCTTTTTCTCTACTATTCGGTGATAGATCTCAAGCTTGCTGCGCTATCCGTCGTTTTCTTTGCGTCACGCGAAACGAAGCGGCTGATCTTCTTTCGAGCCTTCGACTTATAGAAGATTAATCGTCGTGACAAGCGTTTTTTGCACTTTTCTCAGGGATCTACTTAATGACCGATTGCCCTGTCATCGCTGTGATCGGAAAATTCTTCTCTTCTTAATCTAGCAGGATAACTTGCGATACTTGCGATACTTGCGATACTTGCATTAAATACGTTTACGTTTGAAGCCGCGATCAAGCGAGTAGCAAAGCTGGAAAGATCGTTTCCACTTGGAAAAACGTCTTCGTGCTTGGTGCGTTAATCTCGTGACAAAGAGAGAAGAAACGTTGCTCGCCAGTTCGTTTCGCAAAATCGTTTCTAGTAGACACTAGTAACACCTGCGACCAAGAAACGTTTCAAGTTTACTGGACAAGTTTACTAGTCATCGACAGTATTTTCAATCAATTTAGAAAATTAACGTATCCTTAAAATAAAGGGTTTCAAGTGGCTTTCAAGTTCTAGAGGCATTGCTGCTAATCGGCATATTAGAAGAGGCTGCTGCAAGCATCGTAGGATAGAATGCGTTACTTAGCGTGGCTTTTGGTGGATATATTAGTTTGCACGATTATTATTTGCACGTAAGTCTATGACGCAATATACAGACGGCATGCTTGATAAAGTGTATTTAACTAGGTTGCTGTTGCAATATAACTTTGACGTTTCGTACTTTTTTCTTCGCTCTCTATATATACATATAAAGTCCTGACAATTATTTTTGATCAGTCTTATCATATATTGAATCGCAGGTGACAAAAATGTTGGAATGTATTAAAGTTTAAATGAAAATTTGTTAAGAGATCAATACATTTACATAAAAAGCAGATTTGAATGAGTCGCGGTTCACGTTTACACGTTTAGAAAGATAAAGTTACATAGCGATAAGGCTTGAAACAGAGGTGGAGATATTCGTAGAGAATAGGTAATTTCAATCGATAATTGGCAGGCTCTGATAATACCTTGATTGGTAACGGAAATTAGAGGATGAATCTAATTAGCTGGTTTTATCGTTAAATCTGATCACTGATGGACAATTGTCTTGCCGACCTAGAAGCCAAAATCGATCAGGACGCAAAAGTAGGAGTAAAACTATTATCTACCAACTATTTGTGTCACGGAAAAAATAAGCAAATTTCGTTAATTATATAAATACTCAACTATTGTGCGTGCTGCTTTAAAATGCATTTGCGCTTTATTTGAAAAACGTTCTCGTTGTTGCCTCTGCCCACTGAACAGGGAGGAGAGACGGAAAATGGAACTCACTAATGAATAATTGTATTTTGCGGTACGGTCATTTTCCTCGCTCTTGCAATATTAACAACTTTTTATGGGATTACACCGGAGACCCGCAATTTCGTTCCATGGCAACAGCGGGAAGAATTCTAATAATCGCTGTATCAAGGCGATGTGTTTTTTTTCTTTTTTTCGTTTTTCGTTTTTTTTCTTTTTCTTTTTTTTTTTAACGCAAACGTGAATGCTAAAGCGTTAACGAAAGAAGAACACGCGGCCAAACGTTCTCAGCGATTCTCGCCGAATGAACGGAGACCGATTAAATTTTTCCTCCAATTTTCCGCTTCTCTAGCTATTTTTTCAACGAACTTTAAACCGAGTATGCTCTTCCCTCTCTTTATTTTTTTCTTTTCTTTCTATTCCTCTTCCTTTTACTTTAGTCCATTTGCAGGTGATCATGAATCATTTTATTTTTGGTACTTTCGTACCAGTTTGCGAGCACGACCGCTAAGAACTCTACCACTGTTCTGGCTAAATCGAGTTTCCCGTCACGGTATACCGAGCAGAAGTTAAAAATTCAAAGCTTCCGTTTTCTCTCTTCTATATTTCTCCCTCTTATTCTCTCCCCAGGCAGTGGTAGAAGCAGAGTTACTAGAGGAGCTTTATGTGTGAATGTGGTCTTTACTTTGTACAAGAGACCATAAAAGGGCCTTGCAGTTTAATCTGAACGACCAAGTAATGAAAATGATACGCAAACAAGGGAGGAGGAAAATATAGGGGGAGAGAAAAGAGATGTAGAACTCGTAGTCCTTCCATTCAACTATATATATTCCGAGGGAAAAATATTTCTTTTCCACAAAAGAGATAATCTTTTTTCATAATTTTTAATCATAAAACAATATATATATATATATCTGTGTAGAAAAAAGCGATGCATACAAATGATTTATACATTTATTTTCTTCTGCAAAAATAAAGACCGATACGCAATTTTTAGCTGATCATTTTGAACTTTCACGTTTACATTAAGAAAGAAATAAAAAGTATCCAGGACATTTCAGGACATAGAATATCTACTTTGGTTTGAACATCTTTTAATAACTTTTTTCTAACTGTAGCATATGAAACGTCCTGTAAATGCATTCAGAGTATAGGAGAAAAAAACTTTCGAACGTGATAGTTGTCGATAGTTTCGTCTCGCAACATTGTCAACGGGACCTCAACAGAATTCTCTCCGCACGTGATACAATACGGAGACGACAAATTGTTTCCCCTTTCGAGTTTGCATCCGAGTTCGAAGTAGTTAGACGATGGGAGAACGATGGGAGAACGATGGGAGAACGATGGGAGAACGATGGTTGATGTGTTGTTCTCAGAATTGCGAATAGAGAAACTAAATATTTCAAGCCAATAAATAACTTTGACAATATTTTTTTCTATTTAAATACTTTTCAGCTATAAAATATAAGATGCATAAGATAAAGCATAAGATATATAATACCAAAAGAATATTGCAAAAGATTTATTTGAATATAAAACAGCCAGGTCCCACAATAGAAGGTGTGTTTTCAGGAATAAAGTTGTATAATACCGTAAGAGTTGTTAATATCGTTAAAGAAAGCTCTATGTTCTTCCATCGTGCTTCTTGATAGAGAATGATAAAAAAAAGTATCCAAGATAGTAAGATTCCATTCATAACTGGTAATGGAACCGAAAGTTTGGGTATCGGGTTGGTAAAACCCGAGAGACCGGACGACGATCGAGGGCAGACCAAGCTGAGATAGTTTTGCTTTTTATCGAAGCTCTTCGGGGCATATTATACAGTATTATAGTGCAGTACAGAGAAATCGTTAGTACCGTGAACGCTTGAAATACAGCCGGTTTGCTTTACCAAAAAGCAACAAACTTTCCTATGATATACGGATGTAAGTACCTACTACGTAGACGAAAGCGCGAGATGCATGTAACGCTTTAGGTTATCAACGTGTAAGAGAGCTGCTCTTACTTACGTCCTATACGTAGTATATTTGCATACGCACGTAAGTACTTATGTTCCTGTGTAGTAACGTGCGCATGCAATTCATTTTTGTCAAGAAAATTTCTAACGGAAGTTGTTTAGTTCTGTGTGTGGAGTAACAAAATTATTTGTTTTATCTAAAATATTATTTATCTGGCCTTTCAAAAATACATATTCTTACCTAGTCTGCATTACTTATTTAAACAATGGTAAATATCGTATAAAGTAGAACCTACGTATGTATGTATTTACGTTTCTCAATTTAAAAAAAACTTACCCGATATGTACGTCAAGGGAATATAGATATTCGATGAAACGTTCTTGTAAAATATTTGAAAAACTTCTTATCACTGTGAACAGAAAATTCTCTACGTGATACGAATATGAAGGTATATATTATTTGGCTCATAAATTCTTTTACAACATAATTCTACGTTATATAAATATTATATCAAAACTATTGACACACACACATATATATCAATAAAACGTGACGGATAAAGATGACAATAGAGTCTAATGATGCCTTTCCTCAAAAAGATAGTGTAAACCTTGCATCGGTATGCTCTGTATTTGTGTGTTTGTTTGTTTGTGTGTGTGTGTGTGTGTATGGGAGCGGGTACCTGCATTCCTAATAAGCGAGGAAGTTGTTCGATGATATGTCCAAGACATATCCGTTAAGATTAAGTATTAACCACTTAATCGCTAATAACAATAAATATCGTATATAATACATGCAAGGAGTTTAAAAAGATTCGTATGAGAAATAAATAAAACTACGTGAGTGTGTGTGTGTAACACCACGGAGGCGAATTCCTCGATAACCCAAGTTATTAACTCATAAAGGGCGAATTAAGTTAGGATAGGGGCTGAAGCATCTCCATTATTATCGCGAATTTACATGTTCCAGGAGTAGGGTCGAACGAGATGAAGTTGGATGGATCCAGGTTACACTCCTTATTTTCTAGCGGCTGGCTAGAGTATAACTAGCTCTTTGCTCTCGCACCTTCCTTTTTCCTCTTCGGTCTCATCAGGTAATAAAGGTTGCCGCTATAACGCATAATGGTTCAATTAAAAAGTTCCCGCTTCCAAGTTATTAGAATAATAGATTGGTAAAGGATATTCTCTGGTTCATTGAAAGTATTGTCATTGCCAATGTAATTGTCTGAACGATCGACGATCAAAAATTGAGAACTGAACTGGAGTTGAACGTGTGTATGCGTGCGCACATGCGAATAAGCGATGGTCCAGCGGCGCTCGTCTTCTTGGTATGGGTAAGCTTTGGTTCTTGTCATGAGCGTGTGTGTGTTTCCAAGAGATAGCACGGTATGTCAAAGAGAATAAGCGCGATCGATACTCTCGATGGCCCTTTTGCAAAGAGATTAGCTCTCACAACCTCTACCAGTACGGTACAGTTCGTAGTTGTAGAGAGAACAAGAGATAGAAAGAGAGAAAAAGACGATAAGTTCTTGTCCAACCAAACACATAATC